CAAAAAAGTATTTAAGAAAAAAGGCTAAAATATTATGTATAATAGTTCAAATTGTGATCGAAAGTCAAAGCTTTCTGATATATTGACAAAACCGTTAAATCCACGTGATAGTAGCTCCTCTAGCTTGATTCTATGCACTAGGATGAGAGTAATATATTATAAACTTAAAACATTTTTGTTCTGCTCAAAAGCTCTTCAATAAGATGATTTATGCTTAAAGACATTCATTCCATTCTTACGTGGAATCTACTTTTATAGATTCACGTCTAAGTAAAACTCAGTACATAGAGAGGGGTTTGTTCGATTATAAACGGTACCCTTAACAGCCTTCATTGTCTGATCAAGATATGCATATGATTTATAAGATAAAAGTTAAATGATCCAGTTATTAAATATTATTAGTGGAGTAACTGAGATTTTGATCAAAAAAGTACGAATTCCAATAATTTGACATGTTTCAATTTTCAAAGGAAAGAGCTATGAAAAAAATTTATTCATGAATTATGTATGTTATTATATTTGTTTATGATTTATATCCAAAAACCATATTTTTTCACATTTTTGAATAAAACTATTTGCAAGGTTTAAATATAAGAAGCTGAGATGCATGCCGTGGTTTTTGCAATACATGCAAAGTTCAAATTTAACAATTTCCAAATATTTCTTTTCTTGGTTCAATGTCCTGAGCAGTTTGAATATTTCAATGAATATTTAAATAAAAATTATAAATATACAATTGGACTTTTTTATTTTTATTCTTTCATGGGAAGAGACAAGATATTTTTTAATATGTCATATTTTTTTCTAGATTTTGTCTATGTTTTGTGTTTAATGTAAAATTTAAGTATGTCAAGACTATTTAGTATTTAAAGGTGATCGCAAAATATTTTTTTATTTTATTTTTAATTTTTCAGCAATAAAAAACGTCTGCAATAAAATTGAACTTGGAAGCCGCACTAAGTTTTGATTCTGGAATCTTGATGAAGATTTTGTGAAGAACGAAACGGATTAGATTACATATCTGTTTACTCTATATTTATCCTATACGATAATATTGAATCTGTCATCTTAAATTCTTCCATATGACTTATTGAAGATAAGTTTTCCAAAAATAATATCTTTTCCAAATTCAAGATTTGAAAAATTGGAATAAACAAAACAGAATTATTGGTCCATATTGCGTGATTTTAGGAAGTTTTCTACACATGAATTTTTTTAGATTTAAAAATGGCAATTTTCTGTAAATTTCAATGGATATCAATGAGTATTAAAATATTTGAGCATGAAATATACGCATGAAAGGAGTGTGTGAGGTGCGTATGAAAGTTGCGTACAATGCGTATAACTATGAATGGAATAATGCGTATCTATGATCAGATAAACATGTAATCTGTCAATATGTCCCGAACTGGTTTCCTGCTCTTTATATACCTGTCTATCACTTTATATCCCTGTCTATCTCTTTATATCCCTGTACATTAACCCCTCATATCTATTTGTCTATATTGTCTGTAAAGCCTTTCATCTTGTTTAAAAAATTGCAGTACAGGTTGTCCAAATAAAAAGGAAAGTGATAATATTTTAGAATTGAGTCCGAAGCTTGTTCAAACGTAATCCTGTCCAAGGATTATTTTTACATTTTTGTATTTACTTTTTTCCTTTTAACATTTGGCAACGTAGAAAATGTGCAATAATGCATCAATCATTGTTGAAATGTCGTCGAAAAATCTGTTTAAGAACTTATTAAGATATTAGCCATTGATATCCAATTTGCCAACCTGAAAGGCCTTTTATTTCTATTTTTAACATACTTTATGATAATAAAAAAAGCGTTTTAAGTCGTCAAGAAAATTTAATATTTTTTGGGACTCCTTGTAGAATCAGATAGAGGAGTTTACCATTGTCTAAATTGTGAGACACCCTGTGAGTAAGAACCTATAAATATAAACCATTCACTTCACAGAGATCAAGGTTTCTGATAGACTCACAGAGTTTAAAGGAGAAAACAAATTGAATAATAAAAAGGAGAGAAGTACATGTAGAAATATAGAAATAGATTTAATTATTTGAAAATTTTCTTAAACCATATAAAATAGTCAAAGGAATTGAGTCTTTGGCACAAACTCAAATGTTCTAATCTCGATATCTTTGCAGCCTGATGAAGTAAATCTTTGATATTTCAAACTTATATTATTTGATTTAACACATTTCATGGTTCGAAATAACTAAGGTCTGCTACATTTGGTTTTAAAGATACAGTAAATAAAGAATCTGAGTTTGTGGCAAAGATTCAATTCCTTTAAGTAATACATGAGATTAAATGTCGTAATTTCCCAAGGCCGTGACTGAGAGATCACATTAAAGGATCGCATTTGCTTTGCCCCTCCCCCTTTAACCCTGTATGCCCCCCACACACACTAAACTTCAAGTTACGGGCCTGTAGACGAAAAAAATCAAAACACGAGAAATTAATTTTAGGGGGAAAATTATTTCAACTATAGTTTAAGAGAGAGGTTTAGTGAACCTTGCAATCCTAAATATTTTCTAAAAATCCTAAATTTCAAGTTTATGGTCTTGAAGTTACGATGTGCTAGTCGAAGGATAATAAACATTTATTGTAGTTTTTTTTCCAGATATTTATTAACATCAGCAAGTCATGCTTCAACAATATTTTTACCAATTTACTGCATTTATCTTAGAAGATAATTTGGTGGATTTGCAGTTTGCAGTTTGCACTAGTTTTATATTGATTGCAGTTTTTAAAAGCAAGGACCTTCAAATTCAATATTNGGGGTAGGTGTCAATTCTTCAAAATCATTGAATTAAAAAGGGAAAATAAAATTACGGTGTCTCTATGTCAGTCTGAGGTAGAATTTTGATAAGTATCGAATGTGAAGTTAAACTACAGTGGGACCCTTAAAACTGTGGAATAGGAAGACGACCATTAGACTATTAGTTATGATCTAATTAGTCTAATGAACATAAATCACAGCAGCTGTGCAATACACACAGACCCATATCACTTGATAAATTGATTTTTTAATTACTGGTGAAACTATTTCTTTTAACAACATCAAACACACATAAGATTGCATACATGTCGTCTCCTAATTCTACAGTTTTGTAAGTCCCACTGTAAGCCTAATAATTTCAAATTCATCTCTAATTTGGGGACACTAGATAAGTAGTTGACCTGTCCGTACCTATTTGGGGACACTAGATAAGTAGTTGACCTGACCGTACCTATTCGGGGACACTACTTCTTACTTACTTAATTACTTCTCTCTCCTCATTATCTCCGAACTCTAGTTTTCTTATGGTTGCCGTAAACCATATTAAACCACTAAGGAACTGAATCATTGACATAAACTGGGATTTTTTAATCCGTATATCTTTGCAACACCACGTCGTCCATCACAGATATTTGAAACTATGAAATCTATTAGATCAAATAATCTAAGTTTGATAAATCAAAGATAAGGATATAGGGATTTGAAAATTTGGTTTGTGGCAAAGACTCAATTCCTTTCAAACATTATCTTTCATACATTTGCATCATTTTCAGGACTACTGTAAACTGCATACATTCTTGCGTCTGCTGAAATGCATCTGCATGTGCAATCTCCTGTTTACAAGTCGTTGAAAGGATATAAAGTTTAACTTGTCTTTAAATCTATTTTTATATTTCTATTTCGTAAAGACACCCTAATGCAAAGGGTTTAAAAAAATGTTTTGTTCGATTATTCAAGATTAGGTTAGGTCTTCAAAGTGATAGGATAGTCTAGGATGTGGGCGAGAGTGCTACGGGCAGGCCCATCTAGTTGCCTCTCCGAAATGAGTATTTCCGAATATTTTCTTTTGATTATGTGATAAACCTCTTGATAAACTCCGGTAATACGATTAAAACGCATGATATTTGGATGTTAGGCACTTTACCAAAGGCATTTTCCCAAGCGGCAACTGCTCTTGCATCAGCGCTCGGTCCCATTGACAAGGCCTTACCTAATCTTTGGGAAGTGGCCGCTTGGGAAATTGAACATTTGGGAAGCTTCCACTTGGGAAGACGCCCTTGGGAAAATGCCTTTGTGAAAAACCTAACACCGATTTTTGTTCTACTTTTTAAGTAGACACCATCTTCCATCTTCCCATCTTTCATCTTCATTCATTTCACATCTTCAGGAAATAAGATGAAAGTGCTGAATCTGACAATAAGATTATAAGATTAAAAGTTTATTTCCTCTTACAAAGATAAGATAACAAATCTAGGCTTATTGAATGAATGTATTTCAAATCCAAGTTTATTTACTAATCCTGCATTCCCCTTTCAACTTTATTTCTGTCATAAAATACCAAAATACTTTACTACAACACATTAATGACATTTATTGTAAATTCGAGAAATAAATTTAATTTGTTTTTATCATAAAAATATCACTTTTTAATTGAGTTCAGTGTAGGCAATCCTGTTTAACTTTAAATGACATCTTAACCATGTTTTTGGTTAATATAGGCGGGGAGGGGGGGGGGTCTCTCTTAGAGTTAATTGAGATGGTTCAACTTTGCTCATTTTAAATGGCTCTAGTGTTCACAGGTTTGAAAAATTGCCTAGATGAGCTGTTAAGATGAAGAAGGTGGTCTTCTACCTCCCAAACAACCATGGGGCACGGCCAACGCCAAGTACTTCTTGTCAGCTAGCGATTTATAATTAGAGATTCAAGATATCATAATTTTTTTTGTTTTTACAGAAAAGTTTACTTATTATTCAAAATGAGTTATACTGATTTATTTTGAAGTCATTATTTTTGTTGAAAGGTAAAACATTATGTTTGATTTTAGATCAGAGTTGACATTTATTTGAAAACAAAATGTATGAATATCTAAATAGTTAAATCTTATTTAACAAGAATGTTAAAGCATGAAGTTGTTCTGAATTTGTTTCTATAATATATAAACTCTACAAGTTTAAATTGAATTAAACAGTTGATGAAGTAATGTTAGTTTAACCAGAAGGGTTTATTTTATGTGATAACCAGAAAAACAAAATTGACACATATCCATAAACTTTATGGAGAGGAAAATATATTAGAGTGAGACTGTAAGCGTAATTTCAAGTTACCCTCGATGAAAAGAGTAAAGAGATCACTGTGTTTTAATCTCTTGAAAACCACTTGAATTCCTGTAAAACGCGGTGTACGCTACGTACAGTGTGAACTCCCAACAACAGATTACTTGTAAACCTTGACATTGCCAATTATTTTACATTAAAATTGTCTTCCAAAAATTCGAATGAAAATATTCATTTTCATGCCAAGTCTAGAAAGTGAATCTTAATATTTTTTACTTAAAACTGCTCGCAAACAAAGTGTTTAACAATTAATAGCGTTTTTTAGATTAATGAGAATAATTCTGACAACCTTGATCAGTCAAAGGTTTTAAGGGTACCGTTGTGAATCGGGTATTAACATCTTTGTATGGAGTCACTTAAAATAACGCTTACAGTGACTTTAAATAAATATGGACTTAATATCTAAATATATGGAGCCCATATGCATACAAAACATATCGTCACTAAACTTATCACCACAAAACTTATCTTTTCAAAACTTATCAGCGACTAAACTTATCATCCCAAAACTTATCAAACTACAAAACTTATCAAACTACAAAACTTATCAAAACAAAACTTATCAACTACAAAAGTTATCAAACTACAAAACATATCAAAATTAAAACTTATCAATAAAATTCATGAATTTTTCAAATCATGGAAAAGTTCCAACAATTCTTTAAAAATCCGCGAATTTTACTAGAAAATTCGGTAAACTCTCAGTTTCCCAGCCCCTTTCAACCGAGATGGAGGCTAATTTTGTTCTCTCACAGAAGAGTAAAAACCTACTTAAGGATGATGAAAATCATCTGTACAACAAATACAAAGAGAACAAGAACAAGACCTGAAGTCTATATGTGCAAGCTTTGATAGTGTACCCTTGAACACATATCTGTTCAATATTGCCGCCAGCCTATTTTCAGATGAATAATGATTTATATATATAAATTCTAAGTCAAGTTTTAGTTGTAACAACTTTTTAAAATGTTTTGAAAAATAAGTTTTGTAGTTATTTTAATAAGTTTTGAGTTTGATAAGTTTTGTAGTTTGATAAGTTTTGTTGGTTGATAAGTTTTTTAGTTTGATAAGTTTTGTTGTTAGATAAGTTTTGTTTTGATAAGTTTTGTGGTGATACGTTTTGTGGTGATATGTTTTGTATGGTCTCCAAATATATCTGTGAGCTAAGCAACAATATTAAAAATAATATCTTCTGATATAATTCTAAATGGACAATATGTTTCCTATAAAATTTGCCTTTATGTTGTATAATCCTCTTAAAGGGACTGTTAGTTTAATTTCAAGTGTTCCTTCATGCAAAAATACATATTCTAGATTAAAACGGTACATTTAAAAACTTTATTTAATCAATAATGTAAAAGATTTTGACGTTATTCGGAGTTTAATTCTAATCATTATTATGTGCAGTAGAAATGCGAAAGTCGCTCTTGTGTGGAGAAATAAACATCGAACATAATCAGTTTTGAAAACTATTACCATTGATATCTAATCATAGATATACACTTCTTTAAACTTTTAAAATAAATTAGTAAAAAAAAATACTCTACAGATTGACCCCGAGAAGTAAAACGTATTCAATGACCTTTTGACGAGTTGTACAATTTTCAGCTTTACAGTCTGCATTAGCGATCAATTTTCTTGAATTTATACTTGACCAGACAAATTTTTGTAGCGTACCGTTGTGAATCGGGCATTGCCATCTTTGCATTGAGGGTCCTTAAAATTACGCTATAAGTCTCTTCAAGAAAAAATTGTTGTTTTGAAAATGAGTAAATAAGTCGAAGTTTTAAAGTTTTAGAATGAGAAGATTGATCAGTTTTGCAGTTTTATTATTGCATTGTGGAAACCTTGTTTTCGCGAGGAAGTACACACCTATTCTTAGAAAAGTAAGTAGAAATAGTTAAAGAGTAACAAAGCCGAGAAACGGCAATTTCTTTCACATCCTTGATGATGCAAATAAAGGTTTATAGGGTACCGTTGTGAATCATCTGAACCATTGAAAGTAAATAAATTATAAAAGTTTGCCCTAAATCTCATTAAAGTAATTGTAATTTATTAATAAAATAAAGTGTTGTGGGAACAGGTCTGTTTTAAGTTTATACTTTTAAAACCTTCAATATATATATTTAATGTACCATCAGGAACCAGTTAGAGAACTTGACGGAAAACATTTAACGCAACAGCAGGATAACAAGGAGAACCAAGAGGAGAACCAAGAGGAGAACAAAGAGAACCAAGAGAAAAATAACCAGGAGAACTATAAGAACCAAAAGAACCAGTGGAAACAGGAGCAAAATAATAAGAAGAACGAGAAGATGCAGAACCAGGAGAACCACGAGAAAAAAGGAAAAAAAAACCAAGTGATCCAGGAGAACAACAAGAAGAAAAACCAGGAGAACCAGGCGGAAAAGAACAAGGAGGAGAAAAAAGAGGGGAACAATAAGAACCAAAAGAATCAGTGGAACCAGGAGCAAAATAAAAAGAAGGACGAGAAGATGCAGAATCAGGAGAACCGCGAGAAAAAAGGGGAAAAGAACCAGGTGATCCAGGAGAACAACAAGAAGAAAAACCAGGAGAACCAGGCGGAGAAGAGCAAGGAGGAGAAAAAAGAGGGGAACTATAAGAACCAAAAGAATCAGTGGAACCAGGAGCAAAATAATAAGAACAGCAAGAAGAACCAGGAGACCCATAAGAACAAGGAGAAAAAGAACCAGGAGAACCAGGAGAACCATAAGAATAAAGAGAACAAGAACCCGGAGATAAACTACAGGAAGAATCAAGAAAACCAGGACAGCAACAAGAAGAATAACCAGGAGAACCAGAAGAACAAGGAGAACCAGAAGATAAAGAATCAAGAAAACAAGGAGAACCAGAAGAACCAGACGAACCAAAAGAACAAGGGGAAACAGAAGATCCAGGAGTACCAAGAGGAGAATAACCGCAAGGACCAGGGAAAGCACGACGAGAACCAGGATGATATTGAGATACTGGAAACAGACTATTCAATCTGTGATGATCCTGTTCTCAAAGGCCCTGTTAACTCTAGGAGTGAACCTGAAATGGTAAGGTTTATATCAAGGGAGTAAACCTGAAATGGTAAGGTTTATATCAAGGGAGTAAACCTCAAATGGTAAAGTTTATATCAAGGTAGTAAACCTGAAATTGTGAAATTTATATCAAGGGAGTAAACCTAAAATGGTAAAGTTTATATTAAGGGAATAAACCTGAAATGGTAAAGTTTATATCAAGGGAGTAAACCTAAAATGGTAAAATTTACATCAAGGGAGTAAACCTAAAATGGTAAAGTTTATATCAAGGGAGTAAACCTGAAATGGTAAAGTTTATATCAAGGTAGTAAACCTAAAATGGTAAAGTTTATATCAAGGGAGTAAACCTGAAATAGTAAAGTTTATATCAAGGTAGTGAAGCTAAAATGGTAAAGTTTATATCAAGGTAAAGTTTATATCAAGGTAGTGAAGCTAAAACGGTAAAGTTTATAACAACACAAAATACTGTTGCCTCCCTATTCCAAAGTTTTCTAGGTCTCATTGTATTTAAAAGATAAATGAAAAGTATGAGATTAATTCCAGAAATGAAATCACTTATCAAATAAAAGCTTTCACTGGAGGGTTAAAAATCCGCAAAAGCTATTTTTGTCTGTTTTTATTTTTTAGCTTCTTCGCCAGAGAGCAAAGGAGATTTGTGGAAAAAAGAACAAAGAAAATGATAAATCTAAGGGAAAGAAAAAGATGGTAAGCTAAATTAAAGAATAACAATAGACAAAATATGCTTATAGGCGATTATACCAATATGATGAAAACGACTTTTTTATTTAAGTTTTAACTGTTAACAAGCTTTTTTTAGAATCACATTTTTACAAGTAAATAAAGAGATTTTTTAATTGACAGCTTCTCTTTGTTTCCATGTCAGTGTGCATAATCCATGCTGTTTAAAAGCTTGATATAAATCTAAATTAAAAAAGAAAGTCGTCATCAACGTATTGATACAATCACCTACCACCATTTTATTTTGATTATAGTATTGTTCGTCTATCCGGGCCGGGTACTTAAAAATGCCTTTTACGATAGATTAAAGTCTCTCTACAATGAAATTGACTGAAACAAGTTTTAACCAAAATTTCCTTTTAAGAATTTTCTGAAAAAATACCACACATTTAAAAGTTTTAAAATTTTAAGATTAAAGTTTTCAGAGTTTTTAGGTTTTGGCGTTTTGAAGTAAATCTAAAATCAAGTGTTTAATCTGTTTTTCGGAAATTCAACAACATTTTGTTACGCCCCTAAACTGATAAATCAGGTGTCACATTTATCAGAATTAGACGAAATTATACCATATTAAAAACTAATTTTATTGTTTAGAATTCCCTGAAAGACTATTCAATATGCGATGATCCCGTTCTGCAAGGTCCAGTCAATTCCAGAAGCTTGCCTGAAATGGTAAAAGTTGATCTGAATTGTTTATATTTTATAAGAGGAAATGATTTTAAAATTGTTTTCAGCTCCTTCGACAGAAGGCTAAGAAGATTTGTGGAGAAAATACTGATAAAACTTACGACAATTCCAAATCTGACAAAGCTAATAAAAGAAATAAAAAATTTAATATAAAAGATAAAGAAAATGCTAAAATTAACGAGACTGATGAGAAAAATTCTAAATATAATAAAACTGTTAAAGAAAATTCGAAAACTAATGATACTGTTAAAGAAAATTCGAATACTATTGAATATAATAAAAATAACAAAATTAATGGGAAAAATCCTAAAACTAACATGATTGATGAAGAGAATACTGAAACTAGTGAAACTGGTGAAGAGAATACTGAAACTAATGAAACTGGTGAAGAGTATAATAAACATAATGAAATTGCTAATGAAAAAACTGAAACTATTGAAACTGGTGATGAATATACCAAAACTAACGAAACCGATAAAAAGGTAAAACAAAAGCTAAAGAAAACAACTTGTAGAAAAATATTACTATTATTTTAGGACCTATCAATTTGTGATGATCTTGTTTTAAAGAGTCCAGACAATACTAAAAGTGAACTTGAATTGGTATGGGAGCCTTTAAACTGTGTGCGTTCTTTTTTAAACAAAAAGCTTTAATTTTTTTAGACTTTTTAGATTCTTAGACAAGAAGCAAAAAAAATTTGTGAACAACGTCAAGAAAAGACAAAAGAAGAGGTAAAATTTAACCAAAGATGCCGCAACAAATATTTAATTTCTTCTTTTAGGAATCACCAATCATTGATTTCTCAATTTGTGACAATCCAATCCTCAAAGGTCCTGTCAACAGTAAGAGCGACCCAGAAATGGTAAAAATGTTTTTTTAATCATATTACCATATCGACATTTTTTTTTTTAAATTTTGAATTAAATCAAAGCGATGGAGAAAATAGATTTTTTCCAGATTTTTAGAGAGGAAGCTGAGAAAATTTGTGGAAAAAGAGAAAAGACTGCCACAAGAGAACCTATTGAAAATTATAGCAAAGTATGAAAAAGCGTTAAAGTAATGAAACAAAGTTTTGTTTGATTTCTTCGTTAAAAAAACTTTACACCATATTACACCATATAAATTCTTTAACAAAGGCACAATAATTTAAAGTAAACTATGGTTTCTGAGATTTGGACTAAACATTCAGAAAAGTTTAAAATTGCACTTTTTTTCAACGCATTTATCCAAATTTTGTTTAGGATCCGATTCTAGATAACTCAATTTGTGACAGTCCAGTTCTAAAAGTTCCATATAATGCAAGAAGTTTGCCCGAAATGGTAAGACGAATATGTTAATAGATTTTGCAGAAAAAAACTTATTTTTTTCTGCTGGATCTTTGTATTTATTTATATTATTTAAAAGATCCATTTGTTTCTAGATAGTCAGAAAACAAGCTGAACAAATCTGTGGAAATAAAAAAAAATATCAAAAAAAGAAAATCCATCCAGAGAAAATATTAATAAATGATAAAGCTAAAGAGCACAAAGTTAGAACGTAATAAATAAATTATTAGAAATTGTTTCTCTAAGAAAAAAACTAAACCTAAAACTGCAAATACCATCTGCAAGCAAGTATAATGCAAAATAACAAATAATAAATAAAGTTTACCATCAATATGCCTGAATACCAGAGAGCTTACAAATTACATTATATATGTGTTGTACAATGTACATATTACATCAATCGATATACTAAATTTTATGAAGGATCTTATTTATGTTGCTGTTGTGCCCTTTTTTTAACAAGGTTTATTACAAACTATTGGAGAAATATTTACTTTTTTTAAATTTTAGGTTGTTAGTTGTTGAAACAGTTATAAGGGGTAAAAGCATCTAAAAGAATTGAGTCTTTGCCACAAACTCAAATTTGCTGATCCCAATATCTTTTCAACCTGATGGTGTAAATCTTTGATATTTCAAACTTTGAAACAACTAAGGTCTACGTCATTAGGTTGCAAAGAAAAGACTCAATTCCGTTCGTCCTTTGGTTAATTTCTTGTTTATAAGTTGTTTTTGTACAAAAAAAGACTTTTTATTTATTATAGCGAAATTTTTGCAACCTGATGATTTAAACCATTGATGTTACAACATTTAATTCTTATGTAGCAGAACTTAAAGTTTGAAATAGCATAGGTCTAGAACATGATGTTGCATAGAAGGCTTAAAAAACTAGAGTTCTGTATAGCAATTGGTTTAAGGAAAATGTTCACTTAATTATTGATTCCCTTACCGTCAAATAAATTGATCATCAAGAAATTGATCATCAAGAAACTGATCATCAAGAAATTGATCATCAAGAAATTGACCATCAAGAAATTGACCATCAAGAAACTGATCATCAAAAAGTTTATCACCAAGAAATTGACCATCAAGAAGTTGATCATCAAGAAGTTGATCACCAAGAAATTGATCATCAAGAAATTGATCATCAAGAAATTGAGCATCAAGAAACTGATCATTAAGAAATTGATCATCAAGAAATTGATCATAAAGAAATTGACCATCAAGAAGTTGATCATCAAGAAGTTGATCACCAAGAAATTGATCATCAAGAAGTTGATCATCAAGAAGTTGATCATCAAGAAACTGATCATCAAAATATTGATCATCAAGAAATTGTTCATCAAGAAATTGATCATTGAAATATTTTGTTATTATTACTAAAATTAGGTGGAAAAAATAATCAAAACAGCCAAGAGCTATTTTCCACCTAATTGCTTTATACTTGTACTGTTAATAAAATCATCAATTTTGTGATTGTAAACTCTATCTGTATACAGATACATTTATTTTAGCAATAAACGTTATCTATCTATCTATCTAAGAAGTTGATCATGAAGAAATTGATCATGAAGAAGTTGATCATGAAGAAATTGATCATGAAGCAATTGATCATGAAGAATTTAAACCATGCTCAGCAATAAAAGCAAAAACATGTTTTAATGCTGCCACAAGGCAAAGAACATAAAATGGTTTACATAAAACATATGTTTTATTCACATTCAGGGATGATGCATTCAACTTTACAAAAATCTAAATAAATCTGAAAATCTCAAGTTTAATTATATTTTTGGTTAAAATTTTTTTTAAGTAACGGATTTTGGGAAATATACTTGAGTTCGTGATGAAATTATTATAATTGTTGTAAAACATTGAACGTGGTTTGAGATGTAATTCCTTGTCTGCACCAAGCACAAGTTTTTACGCAGATTTTCTGGTGAGATAAGAACTTGATCATGTTTCATATATTTTTGCATTTTCGTGTAGTTTCATTTTCGATCAATGTTGTAATACTGGACTAACTGAAAAAATCAACTGAACTAAATCAAATTTTCATTTTTAGATCAATAATTTTTTCACATCAATGATCCCCTCCCAGTCCCCCCCCCCCCCTTCTTACTTATAGGTCTAAATAAATTTAAGCCTGTGTTCCATAAAGTTCTGAAAACTGATCTATGTATTGTGCATTGTAAAACTTTATTCATGCATTCTTTAAACTAAACCATACACATACATTCAGTAGATTAGGTGGAGAAAAGGTTTCGTTTTGCCTGGATTCAAGAATTCCTGAAACCCAGGGTTTTTAGGTAATTACAGGGGGCGGCGGGAACACAGTTAAATAGGGTTGAATGTGTTTAGGGGTTAGGGTCAGGACGGGTCGGATAGATAGATAAATATGGAGCTGGTAGCTTAGATGCAATGGTTCAAAAATTCTCAAGATATAGGTAGATCTGATGGAAGGGATAGATGGAATGGATGGGATGGATGGGATGGATGGGATGGATGGGATGGATGGGATGGAATGGGATGGATGGGATGGATAGGATGGATGGGATGGATGGGATGGATGGGAGGGATGGGATGGAAAAGATGGATGGGATGGAAAAGATGGATGGGATGGAAAAGATGGGATGGGATGGATGGGATGGATGGGATGGATGGGATGGATGGGATGGAAAAGATGGATGGGATGGATGGGATGGATGGGATGGATGGGATGGATGGGATGGATGGGATGGATGGGATGGATGGGATGGATGGGATGTTCCTATTCAAGAATTTATGAAGATTTAAAAATGTAAATTAAGTTAATTTTTCAAATTACAATATTTCTAAGAATTTCCTAGATGTGAAGGATGGGGTGGCCAAAAATGAGTTTTAACCCATTTATTATAAAACTCCTCCCCCTCCCCCCTAGACGGAAAGAGGTTTAGAGTAAGGTTATTAACACTTTCAGCTAAACCCAATCAAAGGAATCAGTATTTACAATCCTTCAACATCCAGTGAACACAAAGGTTCTTGAAGTTATATTCCTCTCAGAAACTGTTGTTGACATTCCTCCCAGAAACTATTGTTTACATTCCTCCTGGAAACTTTTGTTTACATTCCTCCCAGAAACTATTGTTTACATTCCTCCCAGAAACTATTGTTTACATTCCTCCCAGAAACTGTTGTTTATATTCCTCCCAGAAACTGTTGTTTATATTCCTCCCAAAAACTGTTGATTATATTCCTCCCAGAAACTGTTGTTTATATTCCTCCCAGAAACTGTTGTTTATATTCCTCCCAAAAACTGTTGATTAAATTCCTCCCAGAAACTGTTGTTTATATTCCTCCCAAAAACTGTTGATTATATTCCTCCCAGAAACTGTTGTTTATATTTCTCCCAGAAACTGTTGTTTACATTCCTCCCAAAAACTGTTGTTTATATTCCTCCCAGAAACTGTTGTTTATATTCCTCCCAGAAACTGTTGTTTATATTCCTCCCAGAAACTGTTGTTTACATTCCATAAACACTGATCTTTGAAGATATCTGGTATTTCCTGGGTCTAATCTAATTTTTTCCTTTTAATGATAAACTATTTTTTGATTAAAAAGGCAAAAAATAAACAGAATCAAGCATTGTGCGAATTTATAAATTGTTCTATAGCTAGATAGATAAAATTCTAAACATTGCACTCTCATAATAAACTCAGGTATCACTATTTTTATTTAATATTTTCTTATCTATACAATTACTGCATACACAGATATAACTTTATGCCGTGTAGAATTAAACTTTATAAGCTGCAAGAGATCTAGGTTGCTTAAACAACTAATTTTATCATTTCTATATCCTTGCATGATGTACGGAGACGTGTCTTTTTATTTCAAACTAAAAGTTCTATTAGGTACGTTTAAAATATTTTTATTTCAAACTAAGAGTTTTATTAAGTACATTAAAAATATCTTTATTTTAAACTAAGAGTTCTATTAGGTACTTGAAGAAGAGGGCAGGATGGGGGGGAAGGAAAAGTAAATAAGTTGGGTTGTGGAACAGGGGTAAGGGGGGGGGATAGGGAGAGGATAATAATTTCTCTATTTAAACCCTACTGAGATATCTAGAAATGGATCTTTATCAATAATAGGGAGACACACTTATATACAATTCTGTCAGGCTGGGCGGCCCAAAAAGTTCTGGGTGGCTCTAAAAAAAGCTTGATATAAAAAACGAACGCGTGTTTCTGATAGCGCAGATATTAATTTATAAAGTTTATATCTTAAATCAAGATTTGATATAAGTTATGAAATTAACTCTGTTTTAACCTTTATTGTTATAACAAAGACTTAAACTGTAATATAATATATGTTCTAATTCTATTTTACGTTTCAATGTTTAGGTTTTGTTTAAAAATACAACATAGAGTTCTAACTTTAAATTCAATTTTCCAGTTTAACTGTTTTATAAATATTCCTAGTTTAACGTTTATTCTAGAAGTCAGCAGGATACCAAAATAATGTGTTTTATTTTCAATTTTACACCCCTTTTGGAAAACAGTAAGATTTGGAAATTAGTAATTCTACAAAGTTATAGATTTAAAATATCAATTCACACTTTATTTCAAATATGGAGAATATAGAATGTGGGGTTCGAACTGTGAGGCAAGCCGAAAAGAAATTAAATATACTTATGTGACATCTAGATATATATTGAGCCTAGGCCTCGTGCTATGATGTACAGGGTACCTAGATATATTGAATCTAGGTCTAGTGCTGGGGTGTACAGGATACCTGGATATAATTGAACCTAGGTCTAATGCTGTGGTGTACAGGATACCTGGATATATTGAATCTAGGTCTTGAGCTGTGGTGTACAGGATACCTGGATATATTGAATCTAGGTCTAGTGCTTTGGTGTACAGGATACCTGGATATATTGAACCTAGGTCTAATGCTGTGGTGTTCAGGATACCTGGATATATTGAACCTAGGTCTAGTGCTTTGGTGTACAGAATACCTGGATATATTGAACCTAGGTCTAATGCTGTGGTGTTCAGGAAACCTGGATATATTGAACCTAGGTCTAGTGCTGTGGTGTGATGGGTACCTGGATATATTGAACCTAGGTCTAGTGCTGTGGTGTACTGGATACCTGGATATATTGAATCTAGGTCTAATGCTGTGGTGTTCAGGAAACCTGGATATATTGAACCTAGGTCTAGTGCATGTGGTGTGATGGGTACCTGGATATATTGAACCTAG